TAGATGTCTTATGAAAAACTAGGAGTGGTAGAGTAGAAGCGGGTCGTTTTCGGTGAAGGAGGACGTCAAATACTGTATAAGAACAGCAGTGTAAGGTAGTCTCTCCAAATTCCAAATAGTTTTGGCTATAGGTGAGTGAATCTGGCTGAATTTAAAGAGGAAATAGTTCCGAATTGCTTTCTTACTTAATGAGTTGAGGGCCATTTTGTTGGATGTGTCAGGCATCTTCTCCTCCAGTGTAGCAAATAAGGGGAGTAACTTATTGAATTTTTTGAAAAAAACAGGAAGGGAGGCAGGAAACGATACTGTAAACATTATTAGCCAAATAAAGGTGTGATACGTGTTAAAATTCCTTGGAAATAAAAGATGCATTTTCAATTTCACACTATCCGGCACAAACAACAGTGTTGAGCACTTAATTACAATTTTAATGTGCAGGTAATCTTAACTAAAATTTTCCTGACAGTCAAAAAGAACTCTGTAGAAATATGCTGCAAAAGTGGTTGCAGAAGAACGCAGAATACAGGGAGGGACAAAGTACCATTTCTCAGTCTGTTTTCCGAAAATGCTCTGTGCAATTCAAAGTCACCTTTCAAACTTCACCGAGTCGATGAGCAGTGGTGAATCACTTTCTAACCCTTTAATGGCGTCGTACCGTGAAGTGCACCAAAAGTCATCTTTCTCCACTTCATCGCTCATTTTCCAAAGTGCGTCAAAAATTTTCTAGAAATCTTCATTTTAAAAGCGTCAACAGAGAGTTAAACTAATGGGTCCTAGGACTCTTACCTTTCTGGTAAAATCCTCTGACGTTTCACAAGGATCTGCAATGTCCACCTGAACTTCAGCATCCGCTGCAATCTTTTTAGAAGGCTTGCTGCCAGACGCCGTACTCCACATAGAAACTGTTGGAGCAGGTCTTTTAGCGGCTGGACCACCTAAAGTCCAAAACCATTCGTTACTTAACACAGGTTAAGGAAATTCGCTGTCATATGGTGAATAGGTCAAGTTTAAATCTTTACTGGTGACTAGATTTTGTAACCTCTTCAAACCTAGACCTTGCAGATCTAAGATTGCATTCTTGAAGAAGAGTGTGGTTTAATCAGTAGTGAAGTTCAGAAACAGAACTCAACAATACCAACTGTCATAATCAAGTCTTTCCTGTGTCAAAATAACAGGAAATGTCATTTGATGGCTTTCGTTTCCTCCTGGATGCGCAAAGATATTTCTCAAATCATGGTTATCAGCAAGACTTCGGGGAAAATGTGGCCCAATTCGAGAGCGAGGAATGACAATTTTCTTCGAAATCAACGATGTATTCGCGGCGCATTCTTGCTCCTGTATTATTACACATCATGACTTTTGTAGCTGGTTTTAAGACAAGCTTGATGATTTGAAGTAATTTTGTCAGTACCTCAGTAGCTGCAGTTCCCTGATTTGAAAGAACTCTTTCTCGAAATTCTTTTGTCTTCAAATCAATATCCTAAAAAATATCAAATGAACTTCACAACACAACGGAGTATTATATGAAGTAAAGAGGAGTTTAAAAACCACAAAACTTTCTACACCTGAGCAGTTTTAAAGGACTTTAAATCACGTTCGCTTTTTTCACGCAGAGCTCGTTCTTCAGCAAGCTTTTTATCGCTCTTATTTGTAACATCAATAATTGTTGCTTGTAGTGATGCCTTCTCTCTTTAACAGAAGAAAATTACATTTTTTTCAATAAGCGGAATCACTAGGACAAATCAGTAGTCAGGTATTCAAAAATGCTTTAAGCTGTAATATTGTGACCGTAATTCACCCTCGTTTTTCTGCTTTGACGTTTGTCAAAGACATAGCTTTGGTAACAAAAAAAAAGAGCAAACTAGAACACAAGACCAAAAAATTGCGACTAACGACAAAAAACTGATACAGCTAAGTGGGTGAGGAAACAACGTACTTTTCTAGAACATCGGCTTTGAATTTTAACATCTGTAGGCGTCCATTCAACTCGGAGTTTTCGCTGACAAGTTTATCAATCTGCAAACAGATTAATTATATTAACTGTCCTTTTTTGAAGGAATCCTGGGGAACTTTGCAGGTAAAACTGTCTATTTGACCATTAATGAAATTTCACAACAAAAAGAAGTAACCTTCTGAGACATCTGAAAGAAGTTATCTTGAATGGCTGAGTGAGCACTCGTGCACGGCTGCTGTGTAGAAGGACCACCGCCAAAGTCGCGACCTTTTGGTTTTCGGAAGGTGACGTTCTGAGTCAACTGAATGTTGACCGGTACATCTTGGAAGCTTTCATTAACATATTAAATATTTGAAAGCAACTGTTATTCAAATTGGTTACTCAGTATGCTGCATTAGACTGAAATGGAAATTTACCGATGTCGTCTAAACTTTCCAACATTAGCAAGTCTGACTCGACCTTTTCAAAATCGTCATCTTCTTGCACAATGTATTTTTTCCTCTTTACTGCGTTCCCACTCTTCTCACAAAGTGACATCAGTTTATTCGTTTAAAGAACTGAAAATTTTCAGATATTTACGACAGATTGGTAAAGATAAAAACATTAATTTAAAGTTCTGAGATCTACGAATACTATGTCGGCATCACCCGTAGTGAAGAATGAGAGCAAAATGCTCTGAAGCAGCATCGAGGGTCGATAAACTCACCTGACATAACCAACACCATAGAAATCATTAACTTCCTTCATTTTGCCATAACTTAGTGTCTTTCTAACTCTAAAAGTCTGGAGGCGGAGCACTACCTGAACCAGACGCTTCCAAGAAGTGAACTGATAAAAACAAACCAAAACACTAAACCAATCTGCATGGAAAACCTTTCCTCCACAAAGAAGATGTAGAGCACACTAAGCCCAAAAAGTCATCTTGTTGCTATAAAAACACGCTTGTCCTTCCAAGTTACACCCGAAAAATGAAGTGCGAAAAAGTAAATAATTAGCCAATTACACAAATGAACACTAACGTTTAAGCCAGTTTACTCACAGTCTTTGCAATATAAAGTTAGCTTTACCTAACCTCATACCTATCACAATCACTCATAAAGTTTCTTTTTCATAAATTGACCCATAAATGCAAAAAAAATTTTTACAATAGTAAGCATGGTAATCGTCGGTTGGACTGCCCTGAGATACCAGAACCAAACATAGAGCAAATTTATCCACAGCTTCCACTTGAAGAAGTACATAACAACTAAGAATATTATGTAAAACATCACAGTACAAAGCCCTTACTCACTAAATGAGTTTACAAAATCTTCCAACTGTCCTGCCGTCAAAGCAAAAATTGAGTAAAGCGCAAGAAAATTGATGAGTAACAAAAACGACGAGGAAAAGCTGGAACATGACTCATTTCGAATTAACTATGAAATTAAGAAATCGAAATTGATAAAAATGTTTCAGACCAAATCGTCAAACTCGAGGCTTTCACATGAAAGTTAAATAATGCTTGAATTACTAAAAAACATGTAAATAGATACATACGGAAGTAGAACTTCTGTAACCCAAATAAACTAAACATGGTTACATAGTCAAAAGAAAATGAAATGAAAAGTTGAATTAATTCCTACACAGCCAAGTGAAAAATATATTACTTTTAAATCTTAAACAACGGATGCACCTCATGGTAGCTGACCAAACAAAATAACAATTTTCAAGGCGTCCCTTCTAGGCAAATCTTACAGAAAACAAAATTTTGAAAATTTGCTATTGCGTGACAAAAATTTATATACAGCGAACAAAAAAATGATTCATTAAACCAAAAGGTGCGCATATGAAAATCAACCCTAATCACGATTAAATCCTTTTACAGCCTACAATAACACACTGTTAAAATTTAAGATGGACAAAAAAGTAACTAATCAATGAATACGACATGTGGACTTTTATGTACAAGCACTATTTATAACAAATTTTGCAATAACCTAACTGATGCTTAATTAGCAGACTCACAAACAGTTAATAAAATAGACCTCAAAGTTTTATTAGAGTAGTGAATTGGAATTATAGAACTCGCCCACTAAACGCTCCTCATTAGGATAACGTACGTCATTCTCCAAAGTCCTGATTTTTTCATACTCTAATTCACGCTTAAAAAATTCAATCGTCTTTTGAAGGCCATTACGCATTGTCACCTGAAACAAACTCAATGTTGAAAGCCTTATGCAAATTGAAATAAGTGCGGAAACTACCTCAAATACGTTAACAACGACACTCATGATTCCAACCAAAAATCAGCCAAAAACATTTCAACTGCCATTACACCACCCTGTATTTGAAAAAATCGACTTATAGCGAAAGCAATGGTACTGCCGCTGCACAAATCAGTACAAAAAAAAACATGTGGTCCTTTTTTTGCCGCAAGTATTAAGTCTTCCAGCAAAGCCAGTTCCTAAGACAAAGGACAAGCAAAAACATTCACTGGGTTTAGCAACAACCAATATCTGTGGCTCTAGTTAAATGTTAAATAACTACCCGATTACCAAACACACTGCGTTACTCCCCTCCCCTTTCCAACTATGAATGTCCTGTCGTTGAAACAGCTTCGTTATTGCATATCTGCAGGGCACGCTGAGATCAGACAGAAAACTTTCAAGCCAACTTCGATATATTTAATTTCCGATACTTTTTTGCTCTTCGATTCTTAATAGGTCTGCATTAAAGAATTGAGAAGATGGAAGACATTGGAGGAAACAGAAAATCATCTGCCACCCACAACTCAACGCTAAACTCCGCAGCGCAATTTCAAATCTACAATGATCGTCACTGCATTCAGAATCAATTCTTCCCAAGCTTCGCTCTGATCCATGTCAAAGGTGCTATTTTTCTTCTGCATACTACTGCCAGTACAACCCCTGTGCGTAGCGACACCTCCTAAGACTTCTCATTCTTCACTACATCTTGTAAAAAACCTTCAGACAAGCAGGTCATAATCTGAATGAAAATTATGAGTATGATCCAGCTTAAGCAGAGTTTGCAGCTTAAGCAACAAAGTTTATGCAAAGCTCACTGTTTATTTTCAACAGCAGAAGATGCCAACTATACAAGAAGCCAACACTCTTATTAAAATTTTATGCATCTATCAACTGGTTAGTTGCTTTTTGCATTTCAGCAATTCGCATTCCAGCTATAAACTGTGAATATTGTCCTATGCTCTCAAATCAGAATTTCATCCTACTGTTTTTTTGCAATGACCAGCAGGAACGGCAATAGCAGGTACGCTGTTTGTCAGTCGCCTCATTCCGACTCCCGCTTTCATCAAGTCGAAATAAGGTCAATAACCAGACCGCATTCTAAATTCCATACAAATTCCTCGAAATACGAACACAGCGCATCACTACCCTACTGTGTTCAAATCCAAACAAAGTCAACGCGTAGGGTTTACGCATAACTTTCATACCAACGAGAGAAGAAATTCTGCATACTGGTACACAAGTTAATTCTAAGGGAAAGGGCTTACTTAGGGCATCCCGTTATTCAAAATGGATGATTTGCCTTTGAAAGTCCTCCGTGTACTCTACCAAGAACGCTAACAAGCTAAAACACCTCCACCTTCCACAATTTTATAAAAATGCCTTTAAAAAAAAGCGGCGCAACACGTTACCCAATGTCATGTAATATGTAAATCTACTTAATAAACTCCTGTATTAAAAAGAAAACCCTCAATAGCATAAAGACCTTTGGACGCCAATTAAGGAGCTCTGCTGCCCGTCTGATATCGGGTTTTCTTTGCCTAGGGTCGTCTTCTTGACTTTGCTTCTGAACAACTTCTGAGTTACTGCCTGAAAGTTTAGAAAAAGTGAGCAGATGAAAATAAAACAGGGAAGACTGCGAATGCAACATATAAAACTTGCCAACGAGATCTTTAATGATAGACGCAAATTCTTCAATGCTGTGTTCCTCAGGGTTCCCCAAGTTCACAGGAGCCGTTGTATTACTCTCCATTAGAGCAATCAAACCGTCTACAAGGTCATCGACATACTGGAAAGATCTAGTCTGCTTGCCGTCACCGTAAACCTGGGAAAAAAATCAACTCCCGAACACAGTCCAAAAATAAATAAAGCACGCCATTTTGAAGAAATAAGATGAAGATTTGGAAAAAGAGTATGGACTGTGACGTGTGGAATCTACTAACAGTTATAGGCTCCCCCTTCAGTGCCTGCAGAATGAAATTGCTGACCACACGACCGTCATTGATGTGCATTCTAGGACCAAAAGTATTAAAAATCCTAGCAATTCGTATATCAACTTGCTCCTAAAAATAAAGGTACTGCAGAAGAAAAATTGGAAAAACCATAAAAACCGCAGATTAGCAAGAGAAATTTGTTCGAATGCGGCGTAAAAGACAATGTACATTTAAAATAACCTTAGAGTATTGGAAAAAAATGGTAATATGGCATTCTTAATAATTTCCAAGAGACCTTCATAAAACAAGATCTCTAACCAGCTAAAAAACTTGAAAATCGTGAAAATTGCCTGTTTGTTATAGGCAACCATTAGCGATTCAGCCACTCGTTTTCCTTCATCGTAACATGACCGAGGACCAACTGAATTCACTTTTCCCCAATAAGTTTCAGGCTGCGGGTGAACTTCTGGATCACCATAAACTTCTGAGGTCGATGCTAATAACATTTTCGCTTTTACTCGTCTTGAAAACAAAGCAAAAGTCAATTAAAAGAGACTAAATGCCGACTGAGTCAGAAGCCGAAGATACTAAAAAGAAGCGTTGATTCACCTGGCCAGACCGAGCATATTGATAGTTCCAATTGCGTTAGTTTTGATCGTCTTTACAGGATTGTACATGTAGTGAGGAGGAGAAGCTGGCGATGCCAAGTGATATATTTCATCAACTACAAAAATTTTCCATGTAAAATGAATAAGTATAATATGTCTTGTTTATAAAAAGCATAAAAAAATGAAAAATTTTTATTACTTTGCTACTTCTAACCCAGCCTAGTTACGGTTGAACAAAGCTGCTGTTAAAAATGTGAAATCAAGTTAGTCGGGGAACATTTAGAGAACAAGCCCCGAGTTACTGTTTGAATATATATTGCAAAAACCACATGACAGTATACTAAAACTGTATCACCTACCGAGTAGAACCCGTTAAAAAAGCAACTAACCTTCAATAAAGTATGAATTTACAACGTCATGATGCACCAACTCAAAGTTCTGATGACCAACCCAATGCTCTACATTTCTTTTCCTACCTGTGAAAAAGTTGTCTAGAACAATTACCTCATGACCTTCAAGCATTAAACGATCGACTAAATGTGAACCAACAAATCCTGCTCCTCCTAAAAATAAACTACAAATGAAATTTTTGTTACTCACAGCCACTGCATATAGACCACTTGAGAAATATGTGGATTTCATACAAAACGGAAAAATAAAAAACCTGTTATTAAAATACGCTTCCTACTTGCCTCATTCCGAAATTTCACAGTAGGATAAGTCTTGATCGGTCCCCTAGAAAAGTTTCTCTTTACTGTGTATAAACCAATTTAAAAAATATATATGACGGAAATCAAGGTGCTTTAAAACCCTTTGCTTATAAAGGATAAATAACCAACTTAAAACAGAAATCTTACTTCTCTAAAGAATGAAGTTTTATGTAGGACTTTATCTGTTCAATTTCCTTCTTTAAGCTATTCATCTTTGTCTCCAAGCTGAAAATTTAAAGACTCACCATAAACCTTCTAAAAAAAATGCCAATGCTGGAAAAACCTGAAAAATTTTCACCCCTTTTTTATACACTTACCTTTCCAGATAAACATTCTGCGCAGCTGTAGAGCCAGATATTAAGCTATTAGCTTTTGCACTTTTGTGGTCATGAACAGGATTCTGTATCATTTTTAATGAGGATGGAGAACTTACTGTAAAATTAACATTTTAAAACTAACAAAATTAGCTTAAACATCACATTATTTACTATACATTTCTAAAAGGGAAAAAAGAGATATGTTAAATAACCAAAATAAGCTTTTTTTTGGTAAATGAAAGTCAACATAATAAGAAGAAAAGCAGGAAAACTTACATAAATACACGGATACCGAGAGGAAGAGTAAAGTCATAGAAACAACAAAGCAACGTACTATAATTGCTTCGCGTTGCCATAAAGACATCCTTGAAAAGACTTATACACATAAAAAACTCTGACAATTATTAAAATGTTTTAAAAAATTATTCGAACTCGTTTACAAAATACTCTTTGAAAAACAGTTTAGAAGAAATCTTTTTTGAAACTAAATCCTGTTAGTGTGATGTTAATTTTCATGCTGTTTCACTACATTTCTAGTTTTTACGACAATAAAACGTCAACCACTACCATAATCAAAAACTACCAATGACAATGAAAAAACGAAACGTTTAAGCGCCCCGTTGTCCCTATTAGCTAATAACTAATAGACGACGGAACAACAGCAGTTTTACCCTCGAAGCAAAAGGCTTGTAGTTTAAGATTCATTATGAATCAGCAAACTAAGGATTCATAAATATTTTTTTGAACCGACTGTTGCTTTTTTAGCTGGAAAAAGTCGATACGGCAAAATATTATTCCTTCTTGATCTCCTTTCTTAAAATCTGATTGAACACTCGTTTGGATTTTTTAAAAGAAGAAACAAGAGAAAACAACAAACCTGAGGTGCTGCAACGCTATGAATAAGTGTTCATTAATACTCGACTAATACCAATACAATGGCATACAGTTCTGCGGCAATCACAACCTCATTAGGCTGCAACACTTATTAAGTTTATTTGAATGTAACACTGATAAATAAAAACAAAAAAACGAAAACAGAAAATAAAACATTAATCTTAGTTATAGTTCATTTCGAGTAACCGTGGTAATATATCGGACAAAAAATTGTGGCATACAGACAGTGAACAGCAACAAAGATTACCTTACGACATATTAGCCTCATTTTTCCCCTTTATCTCTTTCCCGTCCCAATTCCGTCCCCCCCAAATCACCTTGTCATCATTGTCTACCTATCAAGGAAAGTGCAATGGTAATAACTACTTTTGTAAAAAATAATAACAACAAACTACAAGTATATTGCATAATGCAGAGAGAAATAAAAAAAAGAGAAACGCTGAGAAATGCAAACAGAGAAGAGGAAGTAAAGAACAATAACAAAAAAGGCAGCTAGTAAACTTTAAATTCAACTTTTATAGTTAAAAAAAAAGCAAAAAAAAGGGATGCATACATTATTTTCTCTTCTCTTCATTTGAATATCACAATGAAATTCTTCTAACAAAAACAAACAGTTGTCATACCACCGAATAAACGTGTATCAAATAAACTGCAATGAAAAACAGACCAGGATATAAAATGGATATAAGTGATATATATGGATATATACGTCAACAAAGTGATCATCTGCACAAAATTAACAAAAATTATGATCTTAACAAACAGTCTTTGAGCCGTTGAAAAAAGGTGGTATCAAAAGCAACAACATGAGCAGCAGTAACAACTACTGTTTGCAATAATTTCCATAGATCCATATCAGGGAATGATACAGATTTATGTAGATAAAATATTTACGTTTTCTTCCCTACATTGAAATAGGCAACAATAATAATGGCAAAAAAAAAAAA